CCCCCTCCCGCCCTGAAAGAAAAACAAATAGAAAATCCCTCTGTGAACAATTGCTGCGCCTGCTTCCGAGAATAGAAGGGGCCATGGTTCAGAAGGTAGAAAAGAAAGAAGAAAATCCCAGGGGCGCTTCTAATCTGATGCAATCCCATAGGTCCCCAGACCCCCTAGACCGAAGGGGGTAGTACCTATTTTCACTATCCCCATGGGCTGGGAAACCAGGCAAAGGCACTGGCTTTGGCTCTTTCTTTCTCCTATTTTCTTAAACCACTGGTACCTCTCCCTCCCAGCTTTTTTGTTCCGATGTGTTTGTAGTATTTTGTACACAACTGCAATTTTTGGGGTTTCAGACTACTGGATCTCTTTTCGGCTGGCAGCGCCAGCCAAAGAGAGAAGAATTTGCACTGTGCTGAGTCGCTCTTTTTTTGGCATGCAGCACAAGTGCGCCTCGGCAAAAAGAGGCTCTGAGGTATGGGTAGTTGAAAAATTGCTCTCATGACCAGGGGGTCAAACTGTTGTCCGCTTGGATTGTGGTTCTGATTCTGTTCCAGGTTCCCATCTTGGTCTTCGTTTTGGTTGCGGTTTTTCGGTTCTGGTCCCGGTTTTTGGATCTTGTAAAAAGTGCACCGTTACTCAATTGTATATTATGGTTCACATTCTGGTCCTGGCTCCGGTTTTGGTCCTGGTTTTGGTCCTGGTTTTGGTCCTGGTTTTGGTCCTGGTTTTGGTCCTGGTTTCGGTCCTGGTTTTGGTCCTGGTTTTGGTCTTGGTTTTGGTCCTGGTTTTGGTCCTGGTTTTGGTTCTAGTTTTGGTTCTGGTTTTGGTCCTGGTTTTTCCATGTGATGATGGATGCAGTTACTCAGGGGAACTGCTTGAGGAGCTGAAGTACTCGGGGCAATGGTTGTCCACTTGGTTTGTGGTTCTGATTCTGTTCCTGGTTCCCGTTTTGGTCCTCGTTTTTGGACCTGATAAAGTGTGCAGTGACTCAATTGTATTATGGTTCTGATTGTGGTCATGGTTCTGGTTTTGGTTCTGTTTTTGGTCCTGGTTTTGGTTCTCGGGGGAACTGAAGTACTTGGGCAATGGTTGTGCAGTTACTCGGGGGAACTGCTTGAGGAGCTGAAGTACTTGGGCAATGGTTGTCCACAGTGTAGTAGCGCAAGGGGAACTGCTCGACCGCCATGTGGACAGCCTTTTTCGGCAGGGAGTGTACTTTGAGGTAGGTATATTTGGCGTACGAAAATCAGAATGACGAGGATGAGTTTGATGTGGTCGATGGGGTCGATCTGATTAACCCAGTAATTGGATGGATTCGGTTGATCTGGCAAAAATACACTGCATCTGGTCTGCCAAGACTTAACCAGGACTAGAACCAGAGTACAGTCCCGATAATCTGCTCTGGACAGGTTGTGGTCTGTATGAATTAGATGAATAAATAATTCAGAGAAAATAGCTTTGGTGAAGTCTGGTCTGGACTCTGGATTCGTTTCAATGTAAGATCCAACAAAAGATTTGAGTTCGGATTCTAACGGGCTTTTCCTTCTCAAAAAAGTCCAAAATGGAGAGTAGTATTGTACAGCGAAGAAAAGGAAAAGTGTGGTGTTAATGTTGATGTCAACATTCGATTTTAACTGGTTTTCTCTTTTCAAAAAGTCAAAATTCAGAGCGCATAGCAGGGTTTCATACCTGCCGACCACTGACCCCCACCGCTGACCATTTTGCAGCCGACCGGTAGGGCCGACCGGTCGGCGGTCTGCCGACCAGTCAGAAAACAGCCATCCACTGATTTTTTTYCAAATCTGAGTTGGGGGCTGTACTGCGCTTGCTGAGTACAGCCCAAATCCGCTGAGAAACTTTTGGGGATGGGGGGGGGGGGGGGGGGGGGGGGGGGGGGGGGGGGTGGGGGGGGGGGTAGGGGGTGGTAGCGGGTATTCTAGGGTGGTATTGGGGTGGTATGGGGGTTATTGGGGCGGGGGGTTGTATGAGGGTGTTGGGGAGCGGTTTGGGGGTGTTGGGGGGTTGTATGGGGGTATTGAGGGCGGGTATGGGGTGTTGGTGGGGTTCCCCTCGACCGGTAGGTGCCGACCAGCCAACTGGTCAGCTGGTGGGCAGCTGACCAGTCAAGGGGCACCGACCGTCGGGGCATGCAACACTGGCGCATAGCAAAAAGGAAAGGGGTGGTGTTAATTGTTGGTGTCAACAGTCGATTTTAACTGTTTTTCCTCATCTTGATTGGCTTTGATGGTGTGGCAATGAGTCAAAACATTTAAATGTTGATGTCAACCTTTGATTCTAACTGGTTTCTTGTTTTGCTTGGCTTTGTGGTCTGACGTCCTGTCAGGTTGGGCTTTTGATCGGACGGTCAGCAGAAGGGAATCGCAGCCATTTATATGTCCTTGTCCCTACCCCCTCTAATGAGGATGGGGGTGGCAAAGAAGGGGGAGAGGGCAATGGGGGGAGTTCTGGGCCTGGGGTTGGGGTGGCGGGCGGAGGCAAGGGACGACACGATGGAAAGCAGGCGGCTGCTTCCCTCCCAATCCTTGATTCAGACTGGATTGGTGAGCATGCAAGACAGGTATGACTATCACAGTGGTCGGGGGCGTCACCACGCATCCATGCTGTGCCTCTAGTGCCAGCAGCGTGTGTGGAGTGTATTTTCTGGCTGTGACAGGCCTTTCTTTGTTTCATGGGGTTTTTCTGGCTTATGATGGGGTGTGAACCTGCTGTCTGTGGTGTTTTCTGTCTGGTGTGGGTGAATGATAGTCTGCTTTGATTTTCTGTCTGGTGTGGGTGCGTGATAGTCTGCTTCTATTTCATTTCTTCATGTTTCAGGGTGTTTTGCAGGGTTGCATACGTGCCGACCGCCGACCGCGACCGCCAACCGTATTGCAGCCGACCAGTCGGAAAACAACCATCCACTGATATTTTCCCAAATCTGAGTTGGGGGCTGTACTGCGCTTGCTGAGTACAGCCCAAATCCGCTGAGTAACTTTTGGGGATTGGGGGGCGGGGTATGGGGGGGTTGGAGGGGGGGTATTAGGGGGTATAGGGGTGGTATAGGGGGTATTGGGGGGGTTAATGAGGGTGTTGGGGGCGGTTTGGGGGGGGTATAAGGGGTTCTGGACCCAAAAAAAAAAAATAAAAAAAATTCTGTTTTTGAACTTTTTTTTTTGCGGGGTGCTGACGATTCCTGACCGGTAGGTGCCGACCGGTCAAGGGCCGCCGACCTTTGGGGTATGCAACACTGATGTTTTGTCTGTTCCAGATTTTGTCCGACCCAGGGGATAGGATGTCCAGATTTTGTCTCGTCCAAAGGGCCTGTTCGGACCAGCATAGGCCCAGCCGTTTTAGGCCAGCAGGCGTTTTTGTCCGCACCTGGGATGAACCAGGTTTTATCTTTTTGTCCTGGTCTAGCCCTTGTCCCTTATAGACACCCCTGCTGCATCAGCAGGGAGGCCTGGATGTCCGCTGGGTTCCCACGCAGGCCATGTTCGGCCCAGCACGCTGGACCAGGATTTTGGCCTGCCGCCTGGGCCATCGATTGGTGTTTTCGTTGGACGGCTCAGAATTGACGCCGAGGGCACACCTAGCCAGTCCAGCGGTATATAGCTGGACTAGGTTTTATTTGTGGCTCTCAGTGTTACGGCACGCTTCAGGGACATGCTGCTGGAGAGCAGAGTTGTGGAGGAACACCGCTGGGACAGTTTTGCGTTAGCGAAGTTAGGACGTCGACTACCGTCTTTACCCAAAAATAACGCCCAGGCGTTGTATACGAATATAACGCCCGGGCGTTGTATACGAATATAACGCCCGCCGGGCGTTATATTCGTTTATAAGTTATAACGCCCGGGCATTATCTTCAGTAAACTGGTGGCAAGTTCAGTGGGGCCCCAAAATCCCCCCCCCAAAAAAACTCAAAAAAATCTGTAAAAAAAATATGTAGTCCACAATTGCAATGCGACCATCTTTTGGATGAGGGTCACTACAGAATTCCTTATAAACTCGGAAAAAAAAAAAAAAAGTTAAAAACAAAAAGTCAAACCGAAATATGCCCCTTGGAACAGGGTTGTTTTGGCGCCTACCGCCTACCCCTACCGTAGGCGGTAGGCGCACCTACCAGTCCGGCTGACCCGTGGGCGGACCCGTCGGCGGTCGGCAGACTGCCTAAATTTTTTTTTTTTTTTTTTCTGGTCGTGTGCGGCTTGAGGAGGGCAGCCCGAATCCGCAATAATTTTTTTGGGGGGTGGTGGGTTTATAGGG